TAGATTATATTCATCCCACAGTATCTTCACACATTTCATTAATCATTAGATGACATTAGAAATGAGTTATCTAAGGAGTAATGAAAAGGTTATTACAGTAAAATGATGCATTGTGTCCTGATTGTGACATACTGTGAGGATAACAGTCAGATACAGCCAAACAGCTCTTTTATCAACAGTATCTGAAATTCAAATACATGATGACAACACGTGCTTTTACTAGGCCGTGCTACTTTTGGTCACTGAATGCTTCTCAACACACACATAAATTAACTACTGGACACATAACAGTGTTCTTAATAGAGTAACTGAACATGTGCTTTTACATGTGTCTTTGTTTCTGCTAACAGAGCAATCCCTTCTTAACACCCATACAAATTAGCCAGTGGGTAGCTGTAGTACTTCTATATCTTCTATATGGATATACTTGAATATGCATAAAGTAGGAAAGTGGATTTGGCTAAGGATTTTTTTTACAGTCTGCCACAGAAGTTTCAAATTGTTTGTCAAGGACAGGTAACTTAAGACCATGCTTAAGTATCCTCCATCTTGGTCTGAAGTCTCAAACAAGGTGAAGGCCATTTTTCTGTCTTTGTAGTGTTTGATTCAATGTAATGATCTTCTGTCAGCTCAGACTGATGTTCACCATCTGTTGGCTCCTGGTCTTTGCAGGCTGCAGGCAGCATTTGTACAGCAGACATGACATCTCTCGCGTAGGTATTTATTTCTCCTTCCACAACTGAGTCTTGTTGCCTTGGATTATAGGATCTTTCAGATAAGCCAATATAGTCATGGTCAACAACTACTGCACCTTGTAAAAAGTAATGGTTGTCTGTAAAAGAAAAGTAGCCATCAAATCAGATCCTTCAAGACATACTTAAAATGTTAGTCAGGTGGTAACTTACTTTTTAAAACAATTTCTGTAAGAAGACAAGAATGTTTGAGTGTTAGCAGTGTATTTTTTAATTTCACTGAGCATTAAATGTTTGGCTGCATCCCATTACATCCACAAAAATATGCTTGCAATGTTTTTAGAGTTTTTGGAGTTTTTCTTTGCTAGGTTAGTGACTAGCTTGACATCTGTCATAATCACCTATCAAACTAATACCTTAAATAAATGGACATGCAGATTCTTTCATTTTGTGCACCCACAGAGAGAAACATGGCTACTCCAAGATCTTGCTGGGAAATCTTAATGCAGCACAAAAAGCTTTTCTGAGCAGTAAAAACAGAAAAAAAAGTCTTACAGAATTGAAAGGTAATAATGGCAACTGCTACTGTAACAGTACTATTGAGCTTTCCTTTTATCCAATATGGTTACAGTGTCTGACTTTTCCAAATGAGTTCAAATAAAATGAAAACCATCTAACCAGACAAATTAGAAGTGCAACTGTCGATATGGCATTAATACTTCAGTTTTGGAAGATGAGGTTAGGGCCTATCTTGCTTACATAGAATCATAGAATAGTTAGGGTTGGAAGGGACCTGAAGATCATCTAGTTCCAACTCCCCTGACTTGTGTGGGAGTGCCTCTCACCAGACCATGTTGGCTAAGGCTCTGCCCAGCCTTGCCTTGAACACTGCCAGGGGTGGAACATTCACAACTTCCCTGGGCAACCCATTCCAGGCCCTCACCACCCTCACAGTGGAGAACTTCTTCCTTACCCCTTGTCCTATCACTACGGTCCCTAATGAAGAGTCCCTCCCCAGCATCCCTATAGGCCCCCTTCAGATACTGGAAGGCTGCTATGAGGTCTCCACGCAGCCTTCTCTTCTCCAGGGTGAGCAGCCCCAACTTTCTCAGCCGATCTTCATATGGGAGGTGCTCCAGTCCCCTGATCATCCTCGTGGCCCTCCTCTGGACTTGTTCCAACAGATCCATGTCCTTTTTATGTTGAGGACAGCAGAACTGCACACAATACTCCAGGTGAGGTCTCACAAGAGCAGAGCAGAGGGGCAGGATCACCTCCTTCGACCTGCTGGTCACGCTCCTTCTGATGAAGCCTAGGACATGGTTGGCTTTCCCGGCAGGATTTCCTCTTAGTGAAGCCATGCTGGCTGTCACCAAGCACCTTGTTGTTTTTCATGTGCCTTAGCATGCCTTCCAGGAGAACCTGCTCCAAGATTTTGCCAGGCACAGAGGTGAGACTGACTGGTCTGTAATTCCCCAGGTCATCCATTTTCCCCTTCTTGAAAATGGGGGTTATATTTCCCTTTTTCCAGTCATCTGGAGCTTCACCTGACTGCCATGATTTTTCAAATATGATGGACAGTGGCTTAGCAACTTCATTCACCAGCTCCTTCAGGACCCGCAGATGGATTTCATCAGGACCCATGGACTTGTGAACATTCAGGTTCTTAGGATGATCTCAAATCTGATCCTCTCCTACAGTGGGCCCAAGGTCTTCATTCTCACAGTTCCTGCATCTGCCTTCCAAGACTTGGGTGGTGTGGTCAGAGCATTTGGCAGCAAAAACGGAGGTAAAGAAGTCATTAAGAACCTCAGCCTTCTCCAAATCCAGGGTAGCCAGTTCTCCTGATACCTTCTGGAGGGGGCCCACATTATCCCTAGTTTGTCTTTTACTGGCAACATACCTATAGAAGCCCTTCCTGTTACCCTTGACATCCCTGGCCAGCCTCAATTCTATCTGGGCCGTAGCTTTCCTGACCTGTTCCCTAGCTTCCCGGACAGCATCCCTGTATTCTTCCCAGGCCGCCTGTCCTTGCTTCCACCTTTTATAAACCTCTTTTTTCCCTCAAAGTTTCCTCAGCAGTTCCTTATCCAAGGAGGTCTCCTGGCCCTCTTGCTGCACTTCCTTCTAGTTGGGATGCAACACTCCTGAGCTTGGAGCAGGTGATTCCTGAATATCAATGCACAGTCTTGGGTTCCCCTGCCCTTTACGGCTATATCCCATGGAACCTTACTAAGCAGGTTCCTGAAGAGGCCAAAGTCTGCTCTCTTGAAGTCCATGGCAGTGAGCTTGCTGCACCCTCTTCTCACTGTCCTGAGGATCTCGAACTCAACCATCTCATGATTGCTGCAGCCAAAGCTGCCCTGGAGTGCCACATTTCCAACCATCCCTTCCCTGTTGGTGAGCACGAAGTCAAGCATGGCACCTCTCCTTGTCACTTCCTCTATTGCTTGCAGAAGAAAGTTGTCTTCCACACAATTGAGGAACCTCCCTGGATTGCTTGTGCCAGTCCGTACCATCGTTCCAACAGATACCAGGGTGGTTGAAGTCCCCCATGAGGACAAGGGCCTGTGAGCGTGAGGCTTTTCCTATCTGTCTATAGAGTGCTTCATCCACAAGAATCTTCCTTATCAGGTGGCCTGTAACAGATCCCCACAGTAATGTCCCCCATTGCTGTTTTCCCTTTTAACCCTGACCCACAACTCTCTATTGACTGCTCCCCTGTCCCCAGACAGAGTCCCATACTCTCCAGCCTATCCCTAACATAAAGGGCAACTCCCCCTCCCCACCTGCTGGACCTGTCTTTTCTAAAGAGTCCGTAACCTTCCATTCCAACACTCCAGTCATAGGAGCCATCCCACCATGTTTCTGTGATGCCTATTATATCATACCCCCGTAGCCATGCACACATCTCTAATTCCTCTTGTTTGTTCCCCATGCTATGGGCGTTTGTACAGATGCATCTGAGCCAAGCTCCAAATGAAGCCGGCTCATTGGCTGGAACAGCCGGAATATCTCTGCATCTCTTCAAGCATTTATTAGAGGTGCTGGCAACTGACTGGGAGTGTTGGGATGGAATGATGTCCCCCTCCTCCAACACATCTAGTTTAAAGCTTTCTTGACCAGCCTGGCAAGCCTATCAAAGCAGCTCTTCGCCTTTCTATTACCAGCTCCACTAGCTTCCAGTAGACCTGGCCTCCCAAATTGAGTCCCATGCTCTGAATAACCAAACTCCTGATAATGGCACCACTGTTCTAACCATTTATTAACTTGCCAAATCCACCTGACCTTTTCAAGGTCCTCCTCTTTGACCTGGAGGATCAATGAAAAAACTGTCTGAGACCCAGAGCCCCTAACCACCTCTCCCAGAGCTTTGTAGTCCTTAATGCTTTCCAGGTTTCTGACGGCACCTACCCGGACCACTAGAAGTTAATAGTCCATGGGACTTACTAGACCAGGCAGCCTCTCAGAAACATCCCTGATCCAAGGCCCCAGTAGGCAACACACGTCCCTCAAGACTGGGTCCGGCTGACAGATGGTGCCTTTGTGCCTTTCAAAATAGTCACCTACTACTGTGACCCACTGCTTCTTCCTGGGGGCACCAGTAGTGATCCTCTTTACAGGTGGATTAGCAGGATGTTCATTTGGTGAGGTGTGTACTTCCTCGTCAGCCCTCTGCAGAACTGTGAAGTGGTTCTGGGTAGGGACGTCGGATTTTGGAGGAAGCCCCTTGATTTTGTCTTCTTCATCCTTTTATTGTTGGTTGTTGGGTATTTTTGGTTACAAGTTCCCAGCTTCCCGGATTAATGCCCCGTTTGCCTGCCCTGTTCGCTGCATGCCTGGTCACTCGTGCTCCCTAGAGTGATGTTTTACCTACTCAGGGATGGTGCTATCCCTCCTGGCACAGCTGTCTATGAGTCAGCTGCTCATGTCAGCAGAGCTGCCATCTCCTGGATAAGTTCTGTTGAGGACTTGAGGCTCCTTTGGTGCCTCTGGCCAAACAGGATTGAGAGTCCTAGACATTGCATTTTCCCCATGGTCCAGTGTTGAAGGTGTCTTCTCTGGAGTTACCTCAACACAAGAATCCTAGTGCGAAACTAAGTGTTCCGTTAAGTCAGAAGAACTGTTCAACACACATATCTCTATACAAGGGGCTACAAATTCCTTTGCAAGATGTAGGTCCAGACAGGGACCTTTGTGGGAGCTATTGTGGAGGTGAAACTGCACTTTTCTGGCCATGTTTCTCTACAGATATGTCTTAAATCTGCCTATTTGTACTCCTAAATCATTTGAGCACAGGACACAGAGGCGTTATCTTGATTTTAATATTTAAACCAAACTACACTCAAACAAGGAAGACAAAATGTTGCTTCAGACATGTATATTTATGTATGCATAAGGTGTCCCCTGGAACTTCTTCCTGGCTGTAAAGACACACAGGCAGCAAGCAACCCAGGTACACCCAGACTGCAAGTCTGTGTTGCCTGTACCAAGGGCTCTATCAATGCGCTGACTCAGGATTGAGAGACTGTTACAAAAGGTTATGAAAAAAAACCACTTTACTTCTGATTGCCTATTCTTACATGCAAAAGATTTTTTCCTCAAATAAAAGAAGTAGCACCCCATTTTAAGGCTTTGCTTTTCCCCTTTAAAACTCCCAAATTCACACACTTGAAGTGTAATACATGCAAGACACACTTCAGATTTTTGGAGCAAGGTAAACAAAACACTTTAGAAACACTTACAAAGTTGGGAGGCAAGGACAGAAATATCCTCGCCCTAAACATACTTTCTGCATTTTGATTTCAGAGAACATTACAAATGCTTTGTTGTCATCCAAGGTTATGCCACCAGCCTGAAGGGACAGCCACCAGACTTACACCATAGCGAACATACTGTATTCTCCTTCCACACATATGTTCAATGACTCAGCAACACATGGGTTATGATTAAATGTATCTGCCACCAGATTTACGCCATAGCAGCTGCAGATAACAAAAAAGTAGACCCCTGCTAATAAAGAGGAGTCCTTTGTTATAAAGATACTTGTATTTCTTTATGGATGAAAACAGATGACATTCACTATGCCATTCACTGCCCAGTTTCACTGTTCTTATCCACCTGAAATAATATTCCTGATTCTTGATTGCTGTTAGGCTGTTTGATAAGAAACACCTATTATTTTGGAAAAACCTGGTTTGCCTCTCTACACAATGAAAAGATATGTGAATATTAGTGTATAAAGATTTGTAAGTATTCATGACCATTCATGATTGAAGTTTTTGCTGGTATCAGACAACTGATCTTTAGTCATTTCCTGGGAAAGGAAAGAGACTCTTTGCTTACATACTGCTTTGCTACTGGTAAACATACTATGCTCTCATTCTACAAAGGCAACTACATTTAACTTTTTATACTATGACACAATTTACTAAAGTCATTGTAACAGCTGGAGATTATCTGCAGGCTTGACATGCATGTGACTTCCTCCTTATGGATGAGTAGTTTGATGAGGAACTGGAAGCCAGAGTGACTGTCCAACAATAAAAATAGTGTCCTGGAGACACAACATGAAAAGAGTATCTTGATTGTGAAATCTGTAATTGATGACTGGCATAAGTATCACCTTCTCACATGAAATTCCAGGATTAGTCTCAGCTTTGCAAGTCCCTCAGCTTTAAGGGGTGATGGAACTCAATGCAGTTTATATGCATTTTCAATAACCAAAGCTTAATTGCACATGCCAATTAGAGTGGAACTTGGTTTCCTTTACAAGGATCCTGAACCAAAAAGAAGCTTGTGTTTTCTAAAAACTGACATGACAGAAAAGTTAAAAAAACCCTAAATAAATGAAACCCAAAACCAAACACCACCAAAATGTTAAATCTCTCCATATATATGAAATATGCACACACACATACATATACCTTTTTCACTGGATGTTCTTATGTATGGCTTAAGGTGAGACATCTTGATGGGTCTTTTCAACCTGGATCCTGTGACATCTCTTAATATTGCGTGGCCATTATCTGTGATATAATCTATAATGCAAGGACCAACCCATTCTGACTGGAAACGACCATCTTTCCACCAGTTTTTTCTTTGCCTGAGGACTTCATGACCAACTTTAAGTCGCATGGTATTTAACTGCTTTGGCTTCCTTTTGACAGTGATTTTGTTTCTGATTTTCTGTTCATCTGAAGTGTTTTTCTCCACCTGCAGAAAAATATATATGAATCACATTTTCTTTTTTCCAAAACTAATAATGAATTTTCATAGAACTAGCTAATAATGCGGAAGCAGTACACTAGGTGGACTGGATGTGTGTAACTCAATATGTGGGGTTAAAGAATTCTGAAGAAATTGAATTCATCTTTATAAATCAACAGTCCATAGGTAATGGTTTTCAGTTTCTTAGATACACAGCCCACTAAGTCAGATATTAATCTCTTGGCAATAGGTCTCTTCTAAGGTTACTTCCTCCTAATAGGTATGAGAATTGTTACACTGGTGTAGGGATCACAGGGAAAACAAACAAACAAACAAACAACAAAAAACAAACAGAAAATAAACCTCCACAAAACTGAAACACCAAAAAGCACACAACCCCCCACGCTGCTTTTAAAGGTTAATTATATTTCAAGATTTTTACCTTTTATCTTCTGGCTTCTTACTAGTAAACACATTTACCTGGCAATCTGAGGTTTTCTGCTCTTCTAGAGCTTGACTGGCTGTTTTAGCTGCTTTAAACATTTTGGCAAACACACTGTATTCTCCTTCCGCACATATATTCATTGGCTCAGCAACATGTGGCTTACGATTAAACATTTGGATATATGGGGTGGTTTGACCTGGCTCCTATTTAAATGGGGAGCAGAAAGGAAGCAAACTTAGCATAGAGCTTTGCAGATATTTTGGGGGACTTCAGTCAAAAGAAGAACATCGACATACCAAATCTGTCAAATTGAAAGCATAGGCAATAGCAGACAAATGTTCATCCCAATCATTTGGATGGTTGATGCAGTATTTGTTAAGGAAAGCTTTGATTGTTTTGCATGTTCTTGCATTTACGTGATCTGTCTGAGGATAAGACAACACAATTTGTTTCATTCCAAACACTGCAAACAGTTCTTCATTTATCTTCAAAAGAAGAAGAACACAATTACTGAAGGTTTCCCTCTCCTGTATCACAGTTCAAGTAAACAAACTCAGTCTTCCATCCCTCTTATTGATGTGAGGGTGACTGAGCTAAAGACTTAGACATATTCCCACCAAACAGTCCAGGGTCAAAAGTAAGCGCAAAAGCAGTCAGTATGGGTTAGGAGACGGTAATGGATTGTTTCTAACCACATTTCTACTACTAACTCAACCTGTCATTTTCTCTGTATCGCAGTCTCATGTTCATCATTTGTGAGTGGATAAAATATGAAAAGTTCTTCTTCATTATAGGCCATTGTCAAAAATACCCCTAGCTATCTGCTTTACCAGACAATATGGGTGTTAAATGTGGTTGTTAAATACAGCATGTTGGAGTGTGGAAGCTTGTGCCTGTTCAACTGAGTGACAAAATCTGAATTACTTCTACCAGAAAATCATTTTGCTTTGTTCTTCATTCAAAGAATAAATTCCTGGGAAATACTGCATAATGTTACAATAGCAAATAATTGGTTGTCATTTTCTATATGTACTAACATTTTTCCTTTTTTTTTTTTTTTCTTAATTGAAGAAAAAATATTTACAGTCTTTTTCAAGAATAATGTGGATTTACTACAAATTTTCTACCTGGGAAAATATATGGGTTTTTTGGAAGAAAGGAGAAAAAAAGAGAGAGAGAGGGAAAAACCAGCCATGTAAATAATTACCTGATGAACAAGCTCCTTCCCTTGATCCATTGGCATTTTTTGAGGTGGCCCATATAAGAAAAACACATTTGTGACTGCCTTAGCAACTTCAGCTGCTGAAATGTCATGCAGTGGCAAGATAACAGTCCATCTTGTAAACAAGTCTGTCATAATTATGACGTACTTGTGGCTTCTGTTGGTAACACTGAAAGGTCCCATTAGGTCTATACTGACTGCTGTCCATGGATCCTTCACTTTGATAGGGTGTGTTTTGGGTGCTGTGGTGGTTGTATTCTTTGCCACTTGGCAATACTGGCAAGCATACACCTAGTGCAAAAATCAGGGAAGATGTTATCAATAAAAAGTGATGGTGAAGGTATAAGACAATTAGTAGGATCATAAATCTCCGCTATTCCTCTGCAAGTTGGGTCAGACCAGGCAATGTGAAACAAATTAATTTTAACATCTTTCTTATTTTTTACCCTTAGACTTTTCAGGCCCAGCATAAAACCCAAGCCAAGCAACAGTGAAGGCTGGGAAAAGGACATATGCAGGAATAAACAGCTGAACCGTTTCCTTCCTGAAAGCACTGTGCCGTTTCAAGGCCACAGTATAAATTTTAATATCCATTACTATGTGTAAATACTAAAGAAAGTATGATGCAGCTGGGACTGAAACAAAGTCCCAGTCATTCCCCTTTTGGTACTACTGTGTATGCTGTGACTGAAAAACACTGGCAGTATACACAGTCTTCCATGTGCAACATGGATCAGCTTTACTTACAGAACAGAGCCCCTTTGCCCAAGTCTGAATTGAAAGCAAAGACTCATTTCAGTTCATGTTACAGTTGTGAATGAACCACAAAGCATTCAGGTGATGCAGCAAGCTGACAGCAAAAGTAATTTGGCTGTAAAGGACATTTACATACAGTTTCCGCAAGGATCACATTCTGCCTGGGGTTCATGTACATGTATCTTTGGGCGAAGGAGAAGAATGAACTTTCCCAAGCAGTGATTTGTTTAACTGTGTCCTGAACAAATTTTCATATTCTTATGTGCCAGCAGCCACTCTGGCCACATATCCTGAGGATGGTACACTGCATCCCAACAAAGATGTGTAACTGTACTTGCAAGAAGAATCCTTCTCAAGGACCAGATATGCTCTGCATACTTAAAGGCAGGACGGCTCCTCACCACTGGGTAACATACAGCAATATGCAAGCCACATGGTCAGTGGTAAGAGAAAAAAGAGAAAGGAAACACTGTGCTCTGCCAAGACCATTTTACAATCTGATTGTAAGCTTACATTTCCCCATCATGAAGCAGTACAGGTGGTTGCTGTATGCAAGTCACAGGGTTACAAAAGATCCCTAACAGACTACATTTAAAAAATATTCTGTAGCTATGAGACCATACCCACTGCTTGACGTCATTTGTTACAGAGGTCCAGTAGTAATTAGATTCCACTAAAGCTAGTGTTCTTGATACGCCATGATGAGTGCCAGCAGCATTTTCATGGCACTTTTCAAGCACCTTTTTCTTCTCTTCATCTGAAATAATGACCAGGCGCATTTGGTTTCTGTCTTTTCCAACATAGTACAATTTATTTTCTGAAAGAAAAAAAGTACCAGCAAATTATATGCAAGTGCTTTGTCTTTTGTTTGGTTTACTGAACTACTGGGGATGATTAGGTACAGAATTTATTAAATCAACTTCAATTCACTTCTGTGTGAATGTAGCTATTTGTTTATAAATACTTTTAATTATTTCCTTCAAAAAGCCTTGCCTATGTTTATTAGCCTGGACACAAGGACTAAAAGGGCAAGTCAGAATGCAAACAATGCTCCCACAGGAAGTCTGACTGAAACACAACCTAGTGCCAGGGTGGGAAGGAGAGATAGGACTTGTTACCAGGTTTAGAGTCTGCCTGGCAGCAATCTGACACGACAACTCCTCCCTGCTTTCTGTATACTTGTCAGGTTTGATGGGACTGAAAAGAGCACAGCAGACTACAGAGGTTCATACACCTCTTTGCAGGGAAGAATAAAGCTGATGGCAAAGTCATCCTTGCACATCCTTGCCCAGCCACAGAGCACCCTCCAGACATTGCAGATATGGATTACCCTTTCTGTAGTCCTTTGAATTATGGATTGCAATAGCTATGTACTTCCGCAGTATCTAGAACAAGGTTTGGCTTTCAGCTAGATAAATAAATCCTGCCTGGAAATGACTAAAGCAGATTAAGCTTCTGTTTCTGTAAACATCCTGTTACGTATTAACTTGGGTTGAGCAGAGTTCTGTATTAAAATCACAGTATGCTGCAAAGCAAGATACCGCTTTCTTTCTTTTTATTGTATCAGCAAATCTCCACCTAAAAACCTATCTTCCAAGTAGTCTGAGAGAATATTTTTACCTCTGAAAACAAATTTTTTGGCTGCTCTCCTGATTCCACTTCTTTCACTTGACAACGTTGTGGGATGATACTCTCCTGTTCGCTTGTAGTAGGCAATCTGCTTCAGGTGGAGGCCACCACTCTTCCCACTACGGACCATTGAGAACCTGAACAAAATACACATTATCTGTTACATGGAGCAACTGTCAGAGGAGCACATCTTCAGTTTTTACTGGTTTCCTTGTAGTTCAGCGGTGTCTTGATAACATCCGAGGGAATGTTACAGCATCGCCTGCACTGCTCGCAGTATCTCCATGCTATGAACCTAACCAATACGGGACACTGCTTCACACACTAATTTTGTTCTATGCAAAGCTCGTTTTGTCAACTTACATTTTAAAACTTCCAAACAATGGGGACTTCCACTTGTATTTATGGGACAGGAAATGAGACCGGAGAGAAAAGTCTGAATAGCTCTCAAATGGAGGCATGCTGGAAATTAAGCATGTCCAAAAATCTACTCTAGCTGGAAAAAAAAACCCAAACCAACACATAAAACAAATGGTGGGAAGCAACCTCCCAGACAGAAACTGACAAATTTATATTGTTCATTAATTCATCTGACAGTTAAAGTCTGAAACCAGACTCTGCATGTAAGGTAACAATACATTCCCTGACACAGGCTGACCTCCCTGATCACATTAAACTGAAATGTCATTAGTAAAATGCATCATTAGTACAGGAAATGCTTGGGTCTGGCAAGGACACCATCAGAATAATCAGCAATTAATGACTGGCATAAATATTCACAGGCAGAATTATTCATGCAGGCTCTATGAGATTTCAGTATTTTGTTTTGGTTGGTTGGGTTTTTTTCCCCAAATCTGCTGTAGCAGCAACAAAGATGTACATGGAATGGCAGTTTTATTTGTCTCTAACTGATGTTGCAAGAGTAGGATCAGGCTCAGGGTCTACCATGTCACCATTTCTTAGCAAATGCTGGTTAACCACAGCATTAGGTAAATTTCTTCCCCATCCTGCCAGTGACCCAGGAGTAGACAGTGTGACAACACAGCACCTGCTAAAAGGAGTAGTCAGTTCACCTGCCACATCCTAAGTGGCATATAATTACTGGGAAGTGACAGTATCCAGTCACTCCAGAATCTATGTTATTGCATACAGTGATGCTTTTGAAAGCTAAATGTGTAAGTCAGGATGTTTATTTTTCAATTTAGAGATTATACTGGGGGTGAAAAGGAGGTAAAGAGCTCTAAAGAACGATTATGCCTGCTTTTATTTATTTCTATTTATTCAATTTTATTTTTTTATTATTTTATTTCCATTTTACTTATATTCCTCCCATGAATTAAAATATGGTATGTTATTTATAGAATATTATATTCTACATATACAGCTGGGCTAAACATTGCTGTGTGTCAATTCAAATGCATGCCAGAAACTTCACATTCAGTGACAAGACCTCTGCCCCACTGAATATACTTCATGTTGCAAATCCTAGAGCTGGCTTTCAAAACCAGCCAATTCTCCTGTCATACAACACTAGTATTTACAATAAAATTCTCATGCCTGAGAGATCTAGCACAAACTTCACCAGTACAACCCTGCCTGCAAGGAATGTTTCAGAACAAGGAAGGTGTGGAGGCAGAACATAGTAATGTTTCTAGATCCCGGCTTGCACACCAGTTCCTTGAAAATTTACATCTGATAGCACAAGCCAAAGCAGTCCACCGAGATGGTAAACTGGGTAACAGCAGAATGGAAGGTGAGGCTGCCAGGGTAAAATTTGTGGTTTTGTTGTTTCAGGGAAGTTGATTAACTAATGTTTCTGACAGTTAAATAGTGCTGGTGAGGAGCAATCAAAATATCTAATCTGCCACGGGCATGCATTCAAGCTATAATCCGGGCTCCCCCTGTTCAATGTGAGCTCACTCATCTGATCGAGTTGTTGTCTTCTCATTGTAATCCTTTAAAGATATATGATACAGTTAGCCCTACAATAATAATCTTACCCAGAGTAAAAGGTATAACAGAGTGCTGCACCCACAATGGATACAGCTAAATTCCAAACAGTTCTGTAAATAAACCTCGTCTCCCACCAAAAGAGATAATACATTTCAAACAAGCAGGACACTTAGCTCAGATATACAAACTACAGTGATGACAGATAGGGCAAGGGCTAGTTCGAGCCCTGTGCCAGGGAGCTTGAACACTACTTCGACAGTTAACCCCTATATTGCTCTACTGGCTCTTTTGCTCTCCCAAATTTCCACAAATTATTCATGCTATTTCACCCGAACATTCAATCCATTCCCAATCGGACCAATTTCCCAGGCAATTAACACTCCAAAAATCACAACCAAATTCCCCCCCCCACTTTATCCTCACAAACAAAACATTCAAAGACAAAAATTACACACAACACTACCATGGATAGGACACCAAAACTCAACAACAGGTTCAATTTCAAAGGACATACACACTTTGTCCGACTCCGGCCACTATCCGCTTGGAGAACACAGAACTGTGGATCAGGACTCCCCACTCGCTTCGTAGGTGTGCCACATTTCACTCACACAAAACACTCATTCACACAAAGGCCCGTCTCTCTATCACTCACTTCACACAGAATGTCATCTCAGCCAATAATTAGTAACACATAAATCTTAAGCCATTGGTTACCTGCCAAAGGTTTGTAAAGCTGTTAGTACAGTTACCCTTGTACCAATACCCTATCAAACCAACCCTTGGGGCAAGCACCTGCGCTCTTTACCTCGTGTAGGACGTCTACTTATGACTTACAGGTATCCCCTTTACCTGATCCATACCTGATGATTCACTAGTGATAGTCCTTGTCTGCCTCTGTATTGACTAAAAACTCCAGTGTCTCCCCTGGGGTCCTACTTTAAATTTATCAAGGGCTCTAAATGGTATTTATGCCCCTGACACCCCTAGTCTTGCATCTCCTCCTGTTTAATTTCTTTATCTTGTCCTTTTCTTTTGTACATGAACCATATTCCCTGTTAGCTAACATAAGCCTCAGCGGACTGTCTGGTGGTATTTCGGCTGGTAGCTCCTTGCTCCCTTTCTTTCCAGGACTTGGCTTACTCGCCCCTTGTCCCATACTTATACCGGGGGCGTGGGTCTTTCAGTCTTTCTTCAGTTATTCGTTCACTTCGTCTCTTCACCAGCCAGTTCCCTCGTGGGAGACTGGAACCACAGTTAGAAAGACTCCACACTCTCTTCACAGATCCAGGCTACCCGGTCCATGTTTCATTCACACACCAATCACCCCCATATTCCCGCCCAACCGAACAATACTTACAACCTGTTTTCTTGTCCGGGTCTTTGTGCACATGAATTAGAGGTGATCGTGGTTTCCCTGGGAGCCACTACCCCGCTTTTGCTTTATGTGTCCCCTTCTTTGCCCACGATATAACCTGCTATTGCCAATGAGACCAGAAGAAACTGAGTGAACTGTCAAAACTGGCAGGGCGTGCCTTTCGCTCAAATTCCCCTAGGCCCACGGAAGCAAGGCAGGCTTTCTCCTGGATGAGAAATATGAGCTCACTCCTCTAATTGAGATAACAGGGTTTTATTGAGGGACAAAGTTAATTAAGCAAAAGCAACAGTGCTGCTTCATAGCCAGAGGCGCACTGATTAGCATTTGTTACAGGTTTATATACTTTCACTATTGCATTAATTTCAATATTTCATCATTCCAGCGTATAGGCGGGGAATATTATAACTAGCTCCAGGAACTTATTATCATAAGTCTCCTCCTCTTGGCGTCTGCGCACTGCTCTCCAGTGATTGTGGGCAGGGGTCTTGAGAATGAAGCAGTCTTCCTCATGCAGGCAGGGGTCTTTAAGATGAAGTAAGCAGTTTCTCACGGTGTACTTTTCACCTTTGGCACAGCTGGATGCCCCAGTAATCACAAAACTAGCTGAAACCAGCCATATCTGTAATTTTTCTGATCGCTGGCAAAGACATAGAACAGTGTGACCTTCATGAAAATTTACTGCAAGCAAAACAGAACAGGCAGACAAGGAGTATCCGAAGCTAGCAGATGTTCAGGGGCACTGTCTCCAAACTAACTGATAAGTAGAAGGATGGGGTGAAATAATTCACTCATGTTTAGTGGGGCCACTAAATCCTGTTGTCTCACCACAGACTTAGATCACAAATATTGTTCTTTATCTTCAACCTAAGTTAAAAGTATTTTAACCCTATGTTTTCCAGGCACTAGCTTACGCTATATCAAGCCTCCCCTCCCCCTTTTCTTTTACCTTTACAAATTCTTTTGCTATGCGACTCCATTTTGCTCAAGAGTTCTGTCCATTTTCAACTTGCTGTCTAATCTTCTGTCCTTAGAGAGCTTTGTGTCTGTTACTGCGAACTCATACAGTTATGTCCACATAGCAATACCTATGATTTGCAAAAGCCAATACATTTATGTGTTTATCACATCCTGAAGGCCGTGCTGCAGCTACTCGACCATGGCTAGAAGTCAAAACTAGCCAGGTATGATTTATCACCTAATCACTGGGAGGAGGGACCATTTTGGCTTGAAAGAGACTTTCACACATGGCAAGAAAAGATGTTCCAGGACAATCTTCACTCTTTCAGTACTTTTTGCTTGTCGAATGTTTGTCACAAACAGTGAATAATCTCCACATAGTACATGCTTATAGATTCTAAAAAACTGAAGTTGCACAGCAGTAAGATACACCTGAGCAAGACCTCTGCTCATCCATCAGCTAAACAGAAATTCTGTGCTCATTCCTGCAACAGCAGTTTCTACGACAGAAGTCTGGAATAGCATGCATAAGCCAGCAAAGAAATAATACTTACATAGTATCTCTATAGTGCACATTTAATGTATTTAGCAGGATCCTGATACAGCAAAGAGTGCAGCAATAGTCTGCTGGACTGCTGTCTGAAAGGACAGCATCAAATGAGCTTCCCTCCTGGGTATTTAGTTTCTTATGTGCCCTACTCGCTTACCCTTATCTCCCTCGCCCAACACCCAATTTACTTTGTTTAGCCTAATCTTAAAAAAACCTGAACTGAAAATAACATTTTGTTATTTAGAATTCAGATAATTCATAATGTGGTAGTACATAAGAATCAAACACTTACACAATTAGCAACCGATCCTTAATTCCTTTGAAGCTGGAAAAGAATACAAGGAAAAGTATCTGGCAAAGATAACTAAACTTCCACATAACCAGGGCTCTTTCGTTCATCTTAGCCAAAACAGTTACATTTGCCAACATTCTACTATTTTGCTTTTTAATGCCCTCTCCCATCACAATCCCAACTGGTTTTGGGTTTTTTTTAATCCAGCTTTTGAGTACGTCCCCTATCTCTATTTGTAATTCCTACCAGAAACAGGAATTTCCCAAGGAGCCTCAAATACATCTTTTCTAACCAAAGCGCTAGCAGGAACCTGTAAACAGATGTCCAGAGGAGGGCCACAAAAATGGTCAGAGGG